ATTTGGATAAAGGAAACTTAGAACAATTAAAAGTACCAAGTTGTGAAGGAAGCGAATTTACAGATCTTATTACCCCAAGGTAACAAATAAAAAGAAATACAAGGGAAGAGCTGAATACCCCGAGTGGCACTCTTGCCATAAACTGTAAATGAAGTAATGAGGTGAACCGCAGTCAAGCACAGATGAAGGCGCGCTCACATGTCACACTTCCACATGTGACCAACACAGAATGTTTCATGAAGTCCAGGGTCCCCATCACTGCTCATTAGATTTCGTTTCTATTAACTCTTAAAAAGAGACCAAAAATTATAAGAAAATAAATAGATACTTAAAAATCAGTGTATTTCTTGAACAAAATTAAAAAGAGAAACTGGGGTCCTCTGACCATTTTTATTTAGTTATTTATTTGTTATTAAGTTATATGCATTCTTCATATACTTGGGATATCAGCCCCTCATCAGAGATAATGTTTGCAAATATTTCCTTCCATTCAGTTGGTTGCCTTTTTATTTTGTCGATCATTTCTTTTTTAAATATTTTATTTATTTGTTTTTAGAGAAAGGGAAAAGGAAGGAGAAAGAATGGGAGAAAAACTTCAATGTGTGGTTGCCTCTCCTGTGTCTCCTGCTGGGGACCTGGCCTGCAACCCAGGTATGTGCCCTGACTGGTAATCAAACTGGCAACCCTTTGACTCACAGGCCTGTGCTCAATCCACTGAGCTACGCCAGCCAGGGCTGTTGATCATTTCTTTAGATATTTATTCCAATATACACAAATGACCCAAAGATACATGAAAAGATGATCAACTCCACTAGCTATAAGAGAAATGCAAATCAAAACCACAGTGAGATAACACATTATACCTGTCAGAATGGTTACCATCCCTAATCAAGTGGAAATAACAAGGGCTGGAGAGGTTGTGGAGAAGATGGAACCCTCAAAAACTGCTGGGGGGACTGTAAACGGGTACAGCAGCTGTGGAGAATATAAGGGAGGTTCCTCAAAAAATTAACAATCAAGCTACCATATGACTCAGCAATACCTTTTCTGGATATCTGCCTTAAAAAATTGAAAACATTTACTAGTAAAGACATATGTACCCCATGCTCACTGCAGCATTATTTTTGGTAGCTAAGACATCCAGTGTCCTTCAGTGAATGATTGGATAAAGATGGGGTACACATAAAATGGAATACTATTCAGCCATTAGAAAGATTAAATACTGCCATTTGCAACAACAGGAATAGATCTTGCAACTATCATGCTAAGTGAAATAAGTCATACAGAAAAAGATAAACATATGATGCACTCATATATGGAACATAAAACAGGAAGCAGCAAATGAACAAAAACAAATAAAAAACACATAGACACAGACAACAGTATAGAGGTTACCAAAGTGGAAGGAGGTGGGGAAGGCAGAGGAGGTTAAAAGGGGTCAAGTGTAATGTGACAGAAGGAGACTTGAATTTGGATGGTGAATGCACAATGCAATATTCAGATGATGCATTATAGAATTGTACACTTGCAGCTTATATAATCCTATTACCCAATGTAACCCCAATACATTTAATAAAATTAAAAAAGAGAGAGAAACTCCCCTCATTGTGTAAATGAGTTTGCTTGGGTCTATATCACTAAACTTAATATTTGTGGGCAAGCTGAGCTACTAATCCCACCTTACACCTAGCCCACAGCCAGGGACAGGGGCTGGCCTACGCCTCCAAGTCACTGGCTCACTGGCTCAAGGCAGGAAAAGAATCTGTCGAAGTACTTCCACATGGAAGTGCATATCTGCAGCTTCCCAAATACCAGGTACAGCTGGTACCGGTGAGTCAAAGTGTTCCCACTTTGTGCCCCAGGATTTCAGTATCCAAAACCCCTGATGGTTGTATGAAGCTAAGTTGCTCAGGCCTTACCCTGGTCTTCCTAAGGCCTGGATGACAATTTGATCATGCAGAACACCTTGATACCTTAGAGTTCACAAGTTTTTTACATTTTAATACTGTTAGTATTTAAAACTCAAAACATTGTGGCAAAATGGTTTATTTTTTAATAAAATGCCACTTAATATTTTACCTGTTAGATTTTAATTACCTATTTTCATTCCCTTTATTTTTGTGCATAGATGTATGCTATGTTTTTTTTTTTTTTTGCTGAAGGTTAATCTCTGATCTAATTTTTTTGTAAATAAAAACACATGCCAAATGTAGAATATCTGATACAATTTGTCAAAGAAAATTCTAAGTTAACATTTAACATATAATATTTTTCTGACTGAGAGAAGAATTTATTTTCTATAACTGTGTGATTTAGAAAAATCTGCAAGTTTTATTTCTTGCAGCAAGTAATTTCCAGTTTCTGAATTTAAAGACAGGCTTTTGAAATCTTTTTCAGAAGAAAGCCATCTGGAAGCCCCTAAAAATCATGAATGAGTTATTCTTTCATTATGAGCATTAAAACTGAGACTACTTTAATTTTTAAAATACCTGCTTAGCATTTATTGTTCAAAATATTAGTGCAAACTAGATTTCTGGACTTCCTCAAATTTATTCTTACTAGGTATGCAATATGCAGATTTATTTATAATGACATTTGCAAATTTTGACACAACTTTTATACATGCTTGGTATTATAAAAAAGTGCACAATTCACTTTTTTCTTATGATTCAGAAATAATATTTATGTCTACCAACAGAAAAAAAATGCAATTTTTCAATATACCATTTACATTTAAAAATGTATCTAAGATTTTATTATACTGGTAAAGAAATGAGACCATTCATTCAGCAATTTTTACATTTTATACAATAAGTAAAAATTATAGAATGCTCAATTTCTTACCAATGAAAATTTCATAGAAAAGGTTTAGAAATACACTATAAATATTTATACAAAAGGCATAATTTTACAAATATATAATGGATAGTATTATTTAGATGATCTACTGCAATGTCACTTTTAAAGAAAGAAAAAAATAATATAAAACTTCAAACAGATTTAGATTAGGTATAATTTAATACAACTTTTAGGGTTTTCTTATCTTGGAGGGAAACAATACATTTATTAAAAGCCTTATTTTTAAATGACTAAAGTGTTCAAAGAATACTATTACCATTTCAACCCCATGCTTAAGATCATTCTATATGAGCTTTAGGGAGCACTAAAAATGATTTTATTACATAGCTCCTGGTAATATACTCCAGACTGTTCCTTAACAATGGGAGACATTACATTTGTGTGTACTTTCACCACCCCCCTCCAGACTGCCTACACTCTATGTACTCTGAAATTTGCACCATGTTCTTATCTCTACAAAACATTATAAAATAAGCACAATCACTGATTTTCAGAAAATGCAGGTAGCAGTATAAAACACCCACCATCACAGAAGGGCAAAACCAAGAGAAAACATGTATCTTCACAATATTACAAATTGAATCTAAAGAAAAAAATATACATATAGTGTAAATATACATACCCATACAGAATTCACATTTGGCTAATGGGAAAGTTGATTAAGTTTGACTTCAGGATACCATCTTGCCTTTCTGGGTCCTTCTTCCCCTGTCAGGAGCTTCTTTCAATAACTAGGCTTTATGTCCACCCAATCTTTCATTTTTGGAAAAGATGCTTTCTTGACAGGACATGATAAACTAAATTATTTTACCATGTAAATAATGGGTAAGAGTTTTATCACCACTTGCAGAAGAGAGGTGTTGAGTTTTGTTTTCAACAAGAGCCAAATTCTTTTAAAAGTGATTGATCTTAATTGCAGTAATCTTTCCAGAAGCAGTAAACACATGAAAAAGATATTTTGAAGGAAATGAACTGACTTTTCTGATAAACGTCAGATGCTACGTAGAAACACTGTGCAAGGGAGCAGGGTGAAACTACGTCACGTAAGCAGGTGTCTACACTCCTTATCTGCAGGGTTGCCCGCGTGCCCGGTTGCCGTGTACCTGCTAGGCTGACTGGCATTTCATCTTGTCTTATACTGAAATCTATTAGGTTCAGGGACTAAATACAAGCAGCTCTCTGAAGACAATACCTTTTTTAAAATTCTTGCATAGACTAAGACAATAAATGCAGGAAAAGAACTAAAATATGTTGTGTAGTCTACTTTAGGAGCAATTTAATAAAGATTAGATAACATCAAGAGACACTTGAGAGGGAGACAGAAGAGAAAACCTACAACTGACAGTTATTTTTTAATGTAATATCCACACAGACACCTAGATGAAGCATAGCTAAATGTGGGTGACATTGGGTTCTGTGTAATTCACATTAAACCTCAGAATTCTAAGTAAAAAAGCAGTGATAAAAATGAATATGTTCTATTTGTTGAAATAAGTTGAATCTTATTATTTTAGACTTACAGCGTGAGTTCATGTTTGTACTTCAAACATGAAGTCCTAGAAATATTATATTAATTAATGTTTTCTGAAATCATACATCACAGGAAGGATCAAGATGTTCTAACACTAGACTACTGTTTAAAAATAATAATTCTCTAAAACTTTTTAATATTTTTCTAATTTCCTAGAAGCTTCCTAGGTAAAGTAGGAAAGAAACAATGATACCGAGAATCAATACTGTTGGTTAAATGGGTTGAAAAAATAATTTTCTCAGTAACTTCAAAGTTTATTGCAACCCAGATCACGCCTTCACATTGAGAATGATAAGTTCTCAAATTCCAAAGGTTCTGACTTGTGATACAGCCCATCAATAGAACATAAAAGTATTTATGTATTCTAATGAAGCCTTTATTCTTATTTTTAGAGTTAATACATGGAAATGGATTTTATAAGTTACTAAAACTTTTAAAAATACCCAATGACATCACAAGCAAGTTTACACTTTTGTATTAGTTACTGCAATAACTACATATTTCAAAAAGTTACCTATAGGACAAATTACATACAAGTAACTGTCTGTTGATCTGGTGTGTACATAATTCAATCCGTCAATAATTAAATTTAATGAAGAAGCTAACTTACCGGTGGATCAGCCCCCTTAGAACCAGTCAGACCTCCTGTTAAGGATTCGATATCCTGAAAAGGGGGAGAGTGTTGATTGGAAAATGCTACTCAAAGGCACGGAGAATTCCCCAGTCCCACAGTGTAATACTTTCTTTAAACTACAAACTTAGGGCACTCAGCTATATTTGTTTTGTTTCATTTTGTTTTGTTTTGACCACCTTGCTAAACAAATGCTATACAAATAACCTGTATCTAAAAATGTAGATTATTTTCTCCAACTCTGTACAATCTGTAAAAACAAAAATATATAAATACACTAATCGCTCCTGAAATATGCAAAGAAGAGGCTCTGGGAGAGAGAGCAGATGTTCTGTTCTCTGAGACGCAGAAGTAAGTGCAGAAAAGATGAGAGAAAATTTAATAAAATTGCATTGCAACGCTTGCAAGAATATTAATCCCACAGAAAATGCTGAACCTACAGAAATTGTTCAATTACTCATAGTCCATCTGTTACTATACATAAGTGAAAACATAAACAGATGTAGATAAATTCTTCTTTACAAGGATCAGTTTCTAACCTTGACTCAGTAAGCACAAAAGACTGCGCGTAAGTAGCGATTTTAGCTGTCACAGAGGCCACCAGTGGAGAAGTGATGCTGAGACAAGGCAGAGAACATGCGTGCTGTTTACAGGGGCAGGGACAGCTCAGCCTGATCATTATGGGGCTCAGTTCAGGACTACTAACCACATGACTGGCGAAAGAAGCCACACTTCCAGAGTTTTAAGTAAAATCTCTCAGGATTTTAATGTTTGCCACTATTTTCATTTTTAAGTCATGTTCCCAAACCTCCAAAATGAAAAAAAAAGGAAAAAACCTGTATGTTCAAAGGCTGCTGGATAGGAGTTTGGGACTACGTTGAAGAGTCACACTATTTGCTAAAAAGTTTCTTTTGTGTGGCACTGGTCACTTGTATGTATGCTCTTCTTATATGTCCTGGTAAGTATAGGATTGAAGAGCCTGGGGAAATATCATTATTGTAGTGAAAAATCAAATATAAAATATAACTGAGTAAAGATAGAAAGAAAAGAAAATTACATACTTATGAGAAACACCTTGATATCATTAAAAAGATTTATGTTAACAGTTCACTTGGGACTTAATCACATCATTTCCCTGGTTATCTTAAAAATGGGGAATCTTAGCAGTGAATATGGGGTTCAAATGAGCATGTGAAGAAAACATCAAAGTCAGGGCAGGAGACGAGGAAGGATGATGGGATGAGTTTCCATTTGAAGAAGCTGACTTTCAATGGGAACTCAATGGGTGATGAGTTTCTACATACATGTTTTATTAGGGCCATAAATGACACAAAAATTACAAAAAATGAATTATCTTCTCTGTAATGGATATATTGTATATAATATCTTTACCTATCAAGCACCTCTTTGAAGAACTTCTCTTTCCACTCCCCAACTCTAGCTCCCAAAAAGGTACATAAAAATTGCTTCAAATGTAGGAGCCTGACAGAGAATTTAGGCAATTAAGATTCCGGAAGGTACAATGCTAAGTCCTTGATTTTATTGCTTGAGCAATGTTCAAAACTAAATGTTCTTCCTGCCTTCAACTGCAAGAGTTCCTGGCTCTCAACAACTAAAAGATCCTAATTAATATGCCTGCATTCTGTTAGAATTCTTTATTCCAACATCATGCACATATAAACAACCAAACCACCCAAATTATTTGATATTATGTGTTCTTTAACATTCCTATTAAGTCATCTAGTAAATTATGTCCTTAAAAGTAAAGTATAAAACATATTCCTAAGTTGAATCCAAAGATAAAATACAATTTTAAAAATTATTTTAGAGTTTTCTGAAATGAATTGACAAGATTTGGTCATAAAATGGCTAAAATATTAGATTAATAGGTAAAAGAAACACACAGCCCATTTTGCTGTCATGACCGTGGTGAAAACCACAGTTGTGCTATTTCTGTGAAAGGATTCTTGCAATTACATTGAGTGAATACCTTCTGTTCTTCATAGAAAGGCATATATATTATATTAGCAATAGAATTTTAGATGGTAATATTAGAGAGATAATAGAGAACTTGATTCAGATAAAAAAGGATTTTAGCAATTTAGTTTATGTATTTTATCATAGTGTTAAATATTCTTTCATGAATTTCTTGGTATCATGGATAAGTTTTGGCAAATTTTTAGGTTTCTAAAATCTTAAGTCTTTCTCAATAGTCATGATCCTAAGAAAAATGAAGCAAAAGTAGAATTTAGAAAGCGAGTGAAAATGGCATTGATATTTATGACTTTTAACATGTTGAATTACAGCAAACTACAAACTCATGGCTCTAAACAGAGTACAGATGTACATTTTATTACATTCATTTGTTTAATTGAAAAAGTTTTTGAGCTTATATTGAGTATGAGTTGAAAAAGAACGTCATACTTAGATACCCATGTTAAACACGTCATCTTCTGATATAAAAGGAAAATGTTCAAGTATGAATGAATGAATGTAATGTGCATAAATAAAGTTATGTGGTAAAATTAATAGGTGAAATAAATAAATCCTTTGAGAAACTGAACATAATTAAAAGTGAGTTAATCTTTTGGATGGTATTGAATATTTTACCTACAAACAATTGAAATCCTCATAAAATGTATCTACTGTATTTAATTTTTAAATATTATTTAAATGTTTTATATAGAAAACAACAAAAGAGGACATAAAAAAGTAAATACATTAATATCCTAGAAAAATTTTAAACTAACTAGTATAATATTTGATTATAAAAATTCAAAACAAACAGATTTTTTCTAGGTTACAGAATTTGTTTAACTATATTATACATCATGCTTATATAGTCTCAATAGCTAATAAACTAGTTACTATTTACTGAGTATCACTGCATGCCAGGCACTCTTTAAATGCTTTATACACATTATAAATAGCCTTATAAGGTGGTTATAGAAGCCTTGTGAGTTAGTTATTTCTTTTCTCACTTGACACATTAAAAGTTTATATAATTTACCCATTATTGTTACTGTTGGTGTTTAACTAATTATTAATAAGAAAAGTGGAGTAAAGGGAACCAGACATTGAGTGTAATATACTGGGGAGCATGAGCCTGTTTCCTTAGTCAGAAAGCCACAGCTTCACACCCCAGGTATTACACATCACTCCATCAAGGGGATTAACACTCCTCCTTTCCCCCATTCAGTATCAGATTGTTGGGGGGGGGGGGTGGTTTATGAGGAAGTGATGGACCATAGAGTTCTGGCAGTCTAACTTGGGGGTGTGGACCCATTTGAAGCCCATGAAAACTTGGAAACTCTATTAAGATCATTGGCCAATTTGAAAAAGCTTCTGGTCTTTTCGAAGCCCAAGATCTATCATCCCAGGGGAACAAAGTAGTTGTCTCTCACTCTCTCTTGCCCACCTGGTGATGCACCTGCCCCATGCACTCATGTGTTTTCTCTCCATGGCCCTGTGGCTCGTGGCCATGTAGGCTCCAGACACAGGCTCCAGGAAAGAGCCCTAATACTGCAGCACAGCAATGCACTGCAGCTGTAAACACATGCTAAACTAGCTGGATGTTAGACTGGATTGTACTTGAACATGGAGCAGAAACTTTGGGCAGTAGCTTTTGCCTTGACCCTATTGAGAACAAGACTGGACCTTTTCCATGGTGAGATGGATGGAGGTGGGACAGTGGGAAGTGAGGAGGGGAACACCATCCTCCCATGTGGGTTAGAAAATTATTTTCCTCATCATTCAGCAAGAACTTGTTTACTGCCAATAACGGTATCATGCAGCTATGAAGAAGTGTGGTAACAGAACATACTTGTGTGACACCTCACCTGTGTTACTGATACTAGCTGTAAAGAAACAGCTTCACCCTGGCATTCTGGTGACCCTGCAGATATCTGTACAGGCCCAGCCAAGGCTGCACCATAGGATGGTACAATATCCTCTAAGCCACCAAGAGCATGACAAGGTAAGCAGTCTTATGAAGAGCTTTCACATGGCTGTTTATCATTCTCCTCCTGGGCACCAATGAGGCATGGAACTTTCTACCTCACCTTTCCCCAACCCAGATCCATCTGCAGGCTACAAACCTGCTTAAGTGCAATATGGAATTGGCTCTTGCCAAAAGAGCACCCTATCACTCTTATCATTTATTATCTGATCCATCCAATTCAAAGTAGTCCTGTGGAACCAGGGACCAGGGCCAGGATTAGAGTGAGACAAGTGATGTGCTGAAGGTATAAAATTTAAGGAGGCACTCATTCTGAGGTCATACCGTGCTAACCCTGCACTGGCAAGATCCTGAGAGTTAGTGCCTCCTTATATGCTGCACCCTTGCAATCTCATTCTTAAGAGTCTTGCACAAACAGGTTTGGTAGTTGTACAATCCTACCAAGGAGTGAGTGACTCCTTAAACTTTGTTCCCTAAGCCCCTTACTTAGCTCATATTAGTCCTGGCTTTTTAGAGATGTGGAGAGCTGATACCATGGTGACTTTTAATGCTGTGTTTGTAATAAACTCTTTAAATCCATTTGGACTCATTGTCTTCCTCCCAATCAAATTTACAGATGTGTGGCAACACAACCTGCAACCTGACCACATGCTGCTGCTCACAGACTGCTTACTACCAGCAATACTTAGCCTCCATGATATGACTTGTTATCACCTACACAAAAACAAAGTAGGACCTATTAATTATGTAATCAACTTTATTTCTTGAAAAGAAACTTCAAGTAATGAAACTTTCACTTCTCTTTCCAAGGTCTCAAATACCTAAGGGAGATTAGCCAATCCTTGACACGAACTATATAGCATCGGTCTCTTTTAGTGTTAGGCAGCTCTGCTCCTGGGAAGGAAGCCTGGTCATCCAAGGCTGGCCTGTGAATCAAGTCTTAAAGCTTGGAAAGGTTGCCCTGCAGAAGAAGTGAGGCAATCAGTGGCAGAGCTCCAATCAGAGTGAGATTTGAGAGCATCCGGGAGCATGGGTATAAACTCCACTCTATGCTGCACTGACGCTGCTGGTTTTC